TCTCCAGCTTTTCATACTCCTTCCTGATGTTGCTGTCACTTGGCACCACTACATCTACATCATGGCTGTCTTCTGGTCCTTGTCATATAAAGTCTTTTGGGCAAGTTGATTCTGAATGAGCAGTTAAAGCCCATTATCTCTTTAAAGAAAGGTGGCAGAAGTTTTAAAAAGTGAGAATGTTTTGTTCCACTTTCTCTTTCTTGTGCAAACTTCCTACTCCAATTCCTGTGCCCCTTTACTTAAGTTTGCCTGTCTTTTATTTTGGACAGTCCTGTTTTTATAACTTTTCTGATTTAAGAGAATGTGAAAGCATTTCTGCATTTATATGTGTCTGTTTCCTGTTCCTGTATTTGTATAATGTTAAACAGGAAGTAATAAAGAGGGGCTCGTGTTTTTTATCTGAATTCTCTAACATTAATTGTTTCTCTATTCATTAAGAATCTTTCCTGGCCTTTCCATGTTTTTTAAAACAAATAGATAAGAAATTGATCTTTGTACTAAGCATATGTTAAGAAGTAACATAAATGCCATGGTCTGTAATAAAAAGTTTTATGTTTCACGAACAGCAGTTTGTGTACTATATGTGATTTAATGCTTTTCCCGTATCTATTCCTACTTTTCTCTATCAATCTCCAAATGGCATACAAGATGTGAATTACATTTCTGCACATCCTCACACCCCCCCACACAAAATACCTTGTTTGATTTTGGCTTAGTGCATCCTCTAAACTCAGCCATTATGAGTTTTAAAACATAGTTTATGCCTTAATTTGTGGAAACCCCTTTAAATGTGGTTTATTTGTATTCATATTAACCCTGTGAACTTGCATGGATAGCAGCCCTATTGCAACAAAAGATTGGATTTCAGAATTTTCCATTATATCACAGTCCATCAAACTCGGTCTTTCCCATCTACAAGGATTTCTCATTTCCAATAATTCAAAAAATGCAAATAAAACTACAAGAAAAAAAAATAGTCATGGTTGACCAAGTCTAATCACTTTAATGTCAGTTTTCTGCACCTATAAAATATAAGTATCTGTTGGTTAGCTTTGATGATCTTTATGGCACTAGAACAGCTTTCTCACCCCCCATATCTGCTGGACAGCAGTTTTCATCATACTGAGCCCTAAATTTTTAAAAATATCCCTGTAAAGCATTATTCCCAAATATCAGTTTAATGCCCTATAGTTATGGTATCAACTTGCATAAAACTATTCAGTGTTAAGATATGAACATACAGCTTAGGTATTGCACTGTACCTTCCTCTTAGCTTGAAATCTTTCATGTCTATATACAGTTCCAGCTGTGAATGTTGATGTTGTCATAGGGAACAGAAGCATTGTGTTGGATTCAGTTCCATGACATCTGTCTTATCTTTGAAATTAAGATCTAGCACAGTGTCTCCAGCCTGGACAAATTCCCAGAATTCCCAGAATTTGGAAGTTGCCCAGTTTGGGAAATACCAAATTATTATCTTAAGCTGACTTCCTTTCTCTACAGAGCGAATCCCTTTTAATTTTCTATTTTTTAATTTTAAGTCCAAATGTAGGGATACAGGCTTTGTATTGGAATAAAAATGTTCTAAATAAATAATATTTACAAACAGAAATATATTTCTTTATTAAATGCATAGACTAAAAGGACTGGTCAGTAGGAATATACAAACAACAGTATCAGTATACCAATGCTATACCAAACATATTCTCATTATACCTTATACATAGCATTTAACCATTCAAACCATTTACTTTCAGTACTAGTACCAGAATATAATATAGTCAATCATTGAAGGCCTTCCAAAGCAAGCAGGTTTTATGAGCCTTTGGATGGCCATGAGAGTGGGAGCCATCTCCCATTACACTTCACAATAAATGGAGATCTTCAGCCAGCATCACTCAAACTGGGCAGCCAGAATCTATCTAGGAAAGGCAGTTTCACAGGTACACATGCCCTGAGCCCATTCACCAGCCAGAGCTTGACAAACAGTCTCCTGGTCGTAGCTCCCACCTGTTTTTCCAGCAGGAGTCTAGAATCCAGGAGAAATCCAAAGTTGCAGTCCAGCTCTTCATGGAAGTGTATAACATCATCCAATGCCAAAGCTGTGTCATAATCAGCAGGCCTCTGAATGAATAGCCACTTTGTCTGCTAGGATGAAGTCGGAGCCTGTTTTTCCCCATCCAGATCTTGACAGCCTTCAGACACCAGTTCAGGACTCTTCCACATCTGTCTTTTGGCCCAGCATAAAGATGTATAACTGGGCATCATCAACATATTTATCTCTCTCTCAAACTGACAGATGACCTCTCCCAGATGCTTCATGTACACGTTAAACAAGATGGGGGAAAGGACCAAGCCTTGTGGCACCCCCTACTGCAGTACGTAAGGACTCCATCCCTACATTAACAACCTGAATTGCCTAATTGGAAGGAGTACAATAGGAGTACAACAAGATGTGTGAACAAAATGCTGGCTGGGGATTTCTCAGAGTTGAAGTTCACACATCTTAAAGTAGTTGAGGTTGGAAAACACTGGAGTAAAATCACTAGAGTACAGTACCTCCAAACCTTCAACCCTTGAAGACAGCTTAGAAGGACACTGGTGCCAAAGCATCAAAGGCTGCTAAGAGATACCTGCCTATGTCATCCTTGAGGGTGATCAATGTGGGTTTATTCATGCATCTCAGCCTCAGTCCTGATTGCCATAGGCCCAAATAATCTGCTTTTTCAACAGCTCTTTATAATTGTCATTTCACCACTTTCTTTACAACCTTTATTGAAAAAGGAAGGTTGGAGATTGCATGATAGTTGTCTAATGCTGAAGGATCCAGAACAAGCCTCTTAAGAATGGGGCAGAAGACTGAGCAGGTGAATAAAATCATGGAGAAAGTGGACTAACAGAAGTTTTTCTCCCTCATTCAAAATACTAAGGCCAGAGGTTATTTAATGAAGCTGCTTGGAAGGAGATTTAAAACAGGCAAAAAGAAGTACTTCTTCACACAGTGCATAATTATTATCTATGGGATTCATTACCACAAAATGTTGTTGCTAACTTATATGACTTTAAAAGGGGACTGGATAAATTCACATAGGACAGATGTATCAAGGGCTATTAATCTTAAAAGATTCTTTTACTACCAAATACCGCATAGGAGACATGTCTGCAAATACCAATTGCAAGGGAACACTGGTGAAAGACAGTCATGTCTCCATCTCCTGTTTTTAAGCATCCCAGAAGCATCTAGTAACCTACTATAAGAAACCAAATGTTGGAATAAAATGGTCTTTAGAGTAATCCAGCAGGACCATGCTTATGTAATAACTGAATTTCAAATTGTAGCTGGATTAAGTTTATATTTCATTTGTTAGAAGCTTGAGTAGAGACTGGGTTTTTTTGGTCCCATTACAAGTATTTGTATAATCTATGCAAAGATGCTTAACACATTGTAGTAATTCATTACCATCTACTGTAATTAGTCATTGTATTACTTTTGCAAATACTTAAGCTTTAACTGAATAGCCATACTACTTCTTTGTATTATATTATCATTTAATTTAAACAGCATTTCTTTCTGTTTATATCAGAATATTTTACTTTAAAAAAAAAATCTCTTTCCAGATTGTCTCCAAAACAGTTGTAAAGTAAGCAGTTTGGCGTTCCACCCACCTCCTGTGAAGGTGAGGATAATATGTTTTTCCCTCCGGGGCTTAATGTATGTTCAGTAAAAGAACAATTAAATGATATCTCAAGGAATGCTATACCATAACAAATTTGATTATGTGGCATTAAGTCCTGTCAACTCTTAGTGACCACATATATTTTCTCCACGATAATCTATCCTTAACCTGGTCCTTCTTACAAATTTACCCTGAAACAAAGTCAGAAAGGTAATTCCAGTGAACACTACATACTTTTTTCCAAGTACATATATACAGCAGCCTTCCCAACTGTAGTCTATTGATTATTTGTAATGGGGACGATGGTAGTTGTAGTCCACTCCAATTTGAGGGCAATGAGGGAGGGGAGATGCTGCACAGGTCTGAGTTTGTGTGTGTGTGTGTGTACATACACACATTATTTGCACACAAGTATCCTGGTTAGTTTGCAGTGCTTTTAAAGACAGTTATCACACAAGTTTTTTTGTTTGACGTGGGAATCGTTAAGATGCCACAGGACTATTCCCGTGTTCACAGTAAAAGGTAAACAGGGATGCCACCCATGTTATTTTCTCACTGCACAGGACTTCACGGGCAGCCTCGTCTCTTTCGGGGCGCGCGATGCTTGGTTCCACCCTGCAGAAAAGGCATCAGTGCGGGAGGTGGAGCGTCAGGCAAGGTTCCAAGTACTGTATTAGGAAAAATGCACAGAGACTAAAGCGGGAGCATCTGAGTTACAAAAAAGCGGCTAAGCCGGGCACGATGGATGGATCACATCAAAGTTACTATAGAAATGTGGAGATGATTGCTAGTTGACTCCGTGGCATGTAACTAAAGACACCAAAACTCCTATTTTAAGGCTACTATACCTCAATTCTGACCTTCCATGCTTGGAAATACCGCGCACTTTATAAGAACTCGAAAGGAACGTTAAAAAAACAGAGATACTTTTACGAAGCTGAACCAACAGGACGCTTCAAACGTAAGAAAAGCTGGCTTTAAATGGAAAATCCGTGCCCTTACGAAACATGATGGAAATTTGCTTCCGGAGCACGTCCCTTCTCCTAATGGTTTCAGAACCGTCCACCAGCAGCGATCTGCCCTTTCTAAAGATGGTGAAATGGCCCTCACCTGCCCTTGCCTCTGGAGCTCTTTGGAAAATACCACAGTGCTGTAAGGGACAGCGCCTTGCCCTTATCTAAGATGGCAACCCTTCTGTTCCCATTTTTTTGTCCGTCCCGGAAGTGGCCGAGAGCTCCTCGAAGCACGCCCCCCGGCCCTCCTGCTTGTTGATGCGCGCGGGGCCGAGGGTGTGTCTACGTGTGTCATGTGCGCGCGCCGGATGCTCGCGCCCCGGCCGCGGCTGCCTCCGGCACGCGCCCAACGACAGAGGGAGGAGTGAGCGAGCGAGACGCGGCGAGAACCGCCTCGCGCACCCTACGGGCCAAAGAGGGGCCCGCAGACAGACGCGGAATTCTCAGGCGCTGAGGCGGCAAGAGCGTGATGGCGGCGGCAGCAGCAAGGCTGAAGTGGGAAGCGACTCCTCGCTCCACCGGGTCTTCCTCTCTTCCCGTGGTGACCGAGAGCCTAGCAGTGACGACGCCAGTCCCCTGGCTAGGAGTAGCGCTGCGGTTGTTGGTCGCGCTGCTTCTTAACGCGGCCCGGGCCGACAAAGAAGGTGAGGAAGAAGCTAGCGATGGACACCTCCCTCACGGGCATTTAAGCGGAGCATCGTCCCCTCGCTAGAGCGGCCCAGAGGGCACCTGAGGGACGCGGGCGAAGCCTTCAGAGTCTCTCTCCCCCCTTCTTCCCCAGGTGGTTATCTGGGGAACATCGAGGATCTCAGCGGTTTCTTCCTCTTTATTGCCCGGCTGCCCCTCTGGTGGATGGTCCCGTGCAGTTGTACCTGCGGGTCCTCCCGGGCCCCCTCTCCCCAGTATTTTCCGTACACCGCGTTAACGTTGTCAGTGTGAATAATTCTGTTTCTATGCCCCCTCCCCCTTCCAAAGAAGCAGTAGTGAAGTTGTTGCATCTTGGGTGCCGTTTCCTAAATCACTTGCCTCTGTTTTGCACCCTTGTCGGGGTCCCTTACAATTTCCTGTCGGAAATTTTACTTCATTTTCTTGTTCGTTGGTGCTGTAGTTCTCTCTCGTTCCCTCCCAGCCGGGCTGCCAACTCACTGCCCGGCCCTGTTAGTTACTCCACCCGGCTTGGGACCTGCCTCCCCTGGGCCTGACTCTCCCCACTTTGTAGCCGGGCCGTAATCGCTGAAGCTGTACTTGTTTGGTAGTGACATAAAGTTACTGTTTTTATCCTCTTTGTTCTACACCGGCAATGGGAATGGAAGGCGAGTTTGTTCTTGGCCTCTCAACTAGATCCTAAAAGCAGGAACAGTTACTGCACCATTCACAGCCAATGTTAGACTTGGGTTGCTTGTTTAAAATGACTCTAAATTATTTCTCCAGGCCACCCTGATTTCTTTCTTTACCCCACTGGGTAGCACTCCTTACTGTCCCCCCAGTCAAGAGATGTTTATGAAAATCGAAATATTTTAATACTTCTCACTTTTAAGGCTTGCTTTATAATTGGTGGGGGTGATGTTATTGTAATGAAACATATATTCAGGTTGTGAAGAAATTCCTAGAGGGTAAGAGTCTTACAGTATTCAACATTACTGGTATTGAATTTAGTGGTTGATATGAATCCAAGAGCAACATGAAATGAGGGAACCGTATGAATCTTAAGTGTCCTCCTCAAGCTTCAGTTTGTTTTTCCATAAGCACATATTATTGTGTTTTGACATTTGTAAGTTGGAACTTCTACTTTGTTTTAATTCTTATATTTTGCAGCTGCTTATTTATAAAATATAGATTATTATTAGTTTAAGGCTTTTTACAGCTCAGGAACAGTTTTGGCCCTGTTATCAGTGGGTGGTTTGTTTGTCAGCTGATCGTTAGAGCAACAGAGAAGTGGCTTTAAGCCAGGAGTTTTAGCCACAGAAGAAATCATAGCAGGTATTCTTGGAGAAGGAGCATACCAAACAAATTGCTATATGTGGAACATTTTCTGATAAGTGCCTATTTGATAACATTTAAGAGCATTATGAAGATAGCATCAAGATATAATATTTAACAATTCATATGAGGTAATAAAAAAATTCAAAATTTTAACTTTGCCTGACAGGGAAACTTTGATTAAAGAACTAGAACCTGTATTGACTATTGCTTAAAAATTGTTAGAAAAATACAATATGCAGAACTTTACTTTCTGATTGTATAGCTTATATTGCAGAACGACTCTTGTCTTATCAGTGGCTTGTGTAGATTCTGTATGAATAAGTTGCTGCTTCACCCTATCTAATAATGTGCCTTCATGCATTGCCTGGAACTTGCAAAGTCAGCAGTTAGCCTTGCAACATCATTGGTAGATTCCCCCCCCGCCCCCGCTTTCTGATTTTATTTATTTACTTAAAGTATTTATATTGCTGCCCAATTTGAACAGTGCAATTCTGGGTGGCATACAATAAATAGATAAAAATATCAGAAATAAAATAATACCAACTAAAAACAGATATAAACAATTGGCGGTCAGGAACTCAGATTTATTGCACTCTTCCTTACAGGCGCTCTAATCATTCTGACCCAAATGCTCAAGGAAAGAACCAGGTTTTCACAGCCTTTCTAAAGGCCTGCAGGGCTGGGGCCAACCATATGGTTGAGTGGGAATCATTCTAGAGGGCAGGCACTACCATGGGAAAGGCATGCCCACTAGGTCCCATAAGATGACATTGTTTCAAGAGTGTGCCTACCTATTGGAGTCTTTGGTATGGATAGATACCATTGGGAAAAGGCAGTGCTGCAGATAAACTGGCCCTGTGCCATATAGGGTTTTATGGGTGATAATCAGCTTCTTGAATTGCACCCAGAAGCCTACAGGAAGCTTAGCAGAGTAATGGCATTACATGGGCGTATTGAGGAGCACCTATAACTATCTACAACACCACATTCTGAATTAATTGTAGCTTCTGGATGGTCTTCAAGGACAGTTCTCTATAGAGCTCATTGCAGTAGACCAGTGAGGAAATGGCTAAGGTGTGAGTGACTGCAAGCAGGGCCTCACAAGTTGGTGCACAAGATGAAGTTCTGAAAAGGCCCCCTTGGTAGTTTTATAGTAGTTTCCAGGCATACTATTTGAAATTGATACTTTATTGTATTGAAAGCTAGCATATCATTGTTCAGAGGTCTTGACATGATGCTTGACACTTCTTCATAGTTACTGAGAACAAATGTTTCTACTTCTGTATTTGCATTTGAATAAGTCTATGCTTCCAGTGCCTCTGCTTTTCTGAAGCAAGCTTTCCAACTTGGGGATTCATGGATCCTCTGCCTCTGCATTCTTCAATGAGCTTTATGAAGGCTTTTCCATCATGATGACTGGTGTGGGTCTGCTCCTGTCTGTGCTCCTGCACTCTGAAGATGCCGGTCACAGGTGCTGGCGAAACG